CTTGAACATAATTTTGTTAATTTCTGAGAATTAGCCTTAAAAATTATATTTTTTTTTATTGTCTTGCCTTTTCATCCGCCCTCTTGCCCACTTCATTTGTCACTTTGCCTTCGTTGGTCTCGTACTCATTTTAAACCTGTTCTCTGTTATTGTCATTTTCTTTTTGTATTGTTTTTGTAACGATATTGTTACTCAATAACCTCATTGAATTCGGTTATAAACATTTACTTGATATGTACATGGTATCTGAGTATGCACATACGTTTTACATCAGATGGATGCCTGAGCAAATGCGGGTCGGGTCATATTGGATTACGGTGATAGGTGAAAGTGATAATAAAAACGATAATAATGGGCAGATACACTTCGGAAGTTGCCATCGTCGAAAATATACTTCGGAAGCTGAGGACAAATTCTCTATTCGGCAGTAACATTCGATCCATGTATTCGATCAGATCGATACATGGATTGAATGTGATACGCATGCTTTTGATTTAGAGGTGCCCACATTCGCAGGACGTGACATGGACGGTTTATTCAGTGGAACATTCTGAATATACACAAAATGTACGAATACTTTCATAGAGTACAGATAGTTGGTTCCAAAACAGGTATCTTAGTAACCTTCTAAGGACTCTCAGAGAATGGTCACGATTTGATTAGCTTCAATACCGTAATCTTTGAGACGCATCAACGCAGGTCTGTAAATATGTTTCAGTGTTGGTCGTATCATTCCCTTCTTTTGAATCTCTCCTGCAAACGAATTTCATTCAACATATATAATGCATCTCTCGCATTCAAATGCTGTTTGAATGATTTAGCTGTGTGTATGAGGAAAATCGCAGCAAGCAGCAAATTTAACCAACCGTTCAAAAGCATATGTGATACAATCGCAGTCGTATAGCCAACAGTGCGTGACATCGCCGTGAAACCATTCCGATCTCCATAAGCAACCAATTGTATTCGATGCCTTTCCTTCAACACTAATTGATAATATACCAAAGTCTCAAAGCTCAAATAACTGCAGTACTAGAGCAAGAGTGATCTGAGGACTGAGCGCAACGATTAACGCATCTGTGAATGCCTCATTTCCAAATGTCTAATGACAGAACTCTCAAAGTGATTGCTAGACGCAAGTGGGGAGCAGTATAGGATGCTTTGCAATTGTCAGTGAAATGTAACCTGAACTCCGGCTGGCCATTGCACATCAATATCGTGATTTAGAACCACGAGGTCACGCTCTGATGGTTGCAGAGCCAGCTTCTTCCGTAAATACGCGGCTAACGTGTTCATCGCGGTTCCATGACGTTCCACGACGTCTTCAGAGAATAAGCCGAGTCTGAAATCATGATGTCGAAGATTTTGCCTCTTGAAGTTGTCATTAGGTTGAAATCTTTTCACTTTTCATGACATGAATCAAAAAACTTTCTCCCTTTTTGTTCTTTTGAGTGTTCGAGTCGCCTTTGTGTACAATACTCTGAGTTCGAACGCTATGAGATGCTCGTTACATATAAGCGAAAATAGTATTCTGTCAATATGCGACTTTGAGCGACCCAGTGACCTCCTTCAGAAGCTCAATCTTAATGATGAACCTCT